GGTTGGTGATAGGAGTGGTGTGTGTGAGTGGCAGATGCCGCTTGCTGGGAAGGGTACTGCTGGGGTCCCCTCCACTTCTTTTCCCCTGGAAGGTTCCCATGCAGGTGTTTGGTGTCTTCCACCTCGCCGCACTTGCCTGGGAGCGAATGCTATTCCAGGATTGTAGGCATGACTGTGGCATGTGTGGCACTGCTGTGTGTGTCCATGATCTCATCCTTCTCACTGGTGGCTTGTGGTGGGAAGGTGTTCCACCACAGTGTCAGGAGTAAAGAATACCTCTCCAGAAATGCTGTGAGCAGGGTTCCTTTGTGGCAGTCTAATGTGGTGGTCTGCTCTGGACTGGTGCTCACCATACATGGGCTGCTGTGCGATCCCCAGGCCGACAAGGCAGAGTGAGGAGTGTGCAGCCCCTCTCTGCCTGCTTCCTCCCTCAACGTGTGTCATGGGAAAGTAATAGAACTCACCTGATGGTCTTTCCCTGGCTTCATCCAAACCCGGGGTGACATCCTGGAAGGGGGGTACCAGCTCCTGGCTGTTTGGCATCGTGTCCATGATGGTCTCATCTTTCTCCGCCTCCTCCTTGTCCATGGGCTCGTGCTCTAGAGGCTGACAATGGGTATCTCCAGGCCAGAGTCCATGACAAGAGGGTCCAAGAGACCCACCCCCTTCCCAGGATGCAGTGCAGCTGCTCATAATAGCGACATGATTGGGGTGCCACTCCTGATCGGGAACTCTGTTCCCTGGCCTTGGTGCAGGCCTGCCTGAGTTTTTTAATTTTCATGCGAACCTGCTCTTGGGTGCACATGTGGCTCTTCTAGCTCAGGCTGGTGACCATCCAGTCATACACATCAGCATTCCCGTGTGTGGAAATCCTGTAGGTTTGCCTCCTCTCCCCAGACCTCGATGAGATCCAGGATTTCCACACCAGATCAGGAAGGGGCCCTCTTCTGCCCCTGGGCAGAGGCTTGGGAGCTCTGTGCTGGCTTGGTTGCAGCCGTGGAGGGCTCATTGGGAGCCCTGGGGTGACTCATGGTGGCAGTAAGGGGTGCTGCTCTGTGGCAGAGGACTGTCAGGGCCTTCCTTCTGCTACAGGCAGTTTCCCTTCTGCCTGAATCTTTAAAGGCTACAGGGGAAAGGAAGCTATAGAGGTTTGAGAGGTATGGACAAAGTGGCCACCCGGGCTGCTGTGAGAAGCCCTGGAAGCCAATTATTTCAAAATAATCACAGCTGTGCTGTCCATACACCCCCTATTTCGAAATAACTATTTCAGAATAGGCATTATTTTTTGTGAAATGAGGGTTTATCACTCCCGAATAAGAAGCCTATTATTTCAAAATAATTTTGAAATAATGGGCTTGCTGTGTAGACTCTCACCTTATTTCGAAATAACATTATTTTGAAATAACACTGCATTGTAGACATGCCATAGGTGTCTATCTGCTGCTGTGCATGTGCAAAACTACTGCAGTTCTGACACCACCCAGCAGCCTTGTTTCTGTCTCATTCCTATTCCCTGGTGGGAGTCACAAACTTAGCATTTCTTGCCTCACTTCTGGGGACCCTCCATTGGTTGGGGGAGAGATGTCTCTTTTCCCAAACTTCATTTCACAACATAGTCAGTTTCCTTAGGATGGTGGTATCAAGTGCTTTTAGCATTTCAGCTCTATGTTGATCATCTCCCACAGCTTTGTTATTTTTCAACTTCCTGATTGCAGCTGCTATTTCTGACATCTCGGCTGTGTCTACATTGGCCCTATTCCGTAATAGGGATGCAAATGTAGTACTTTGGAATAGGCAAATCCGCAGGGGATTTAAATATCCCCCGCGGCATTTGCATTAACATGGCTGCCACTTTTTTCCAGCTTGTAGATAAGCCGGAGAAAAGCGCCAGTCTGGACGCGATCCTCCGGAAAATAAGCTCTTTTCCGGAGGATCTCTTATTCCTACTTGAAAGCGCTTTTCTACAAGCGCTTATCTACACGCCAGAAAAAAGCGGCAGCCATGTTAATGCAAATGCCGCGGGGGATATTTAAATCCCCCGCGGATTTGCCTATTCCAAAGTGCTACATTTGCATCCCTATTACGAAATAGGGGCCAATGTAGACACAGCCCTCCATTGTACCTATGTTGACATCAGACTTACCAGGTTTGCTTGTTTAATCCAAATCTGGTTCTGAAGAGGGGCTGAAGGTGTTGATGATTTTTCTGAAATACTCTGCCTGTCTGGTTTCAGGTTGTAAGCATTTTTCCATCTCTTGCTTTTTATCGGCCCATTTCCTATTTTGAAATTTCCACACAGTGACTTGGTAAATGGCCCTGCGATTTCCTATTATACAAGCAGCATCAACTACTAGGCCTTCAGCAGATGCCCATTTATCCTTCCTTGCATTGCTCTCCACTGCTCTGTCTGCTTTCTTGTACTCATCCTTTGCTTTTTCCAATCCTCGGTCTTAGCATTCAGGGGTTTTTTTTCAGTACCTCTCTTTCCTCAGTAAAATTCCATGTCTCTTGTCTTGTTCATTTATTGCTCTATGTTGATATCCAACTCTGACTGCTGATCCTTAATTTCATTGTCTTTGATCACCACCCATTTTTCCTCAGGTCCAGCCTGTGTCTCACCTTCTTCTGCCCCTGGCAGAATCTCAAAATATTGTTCTTTAATTCAAGCTGGAATTTCTCACAGTACTCTTTGGATTTCAGTTTTGTATGACATGATTTTCCTTACCACTTTCCGATTAAAACTGATCATGCTCCATTTTAATTTTGGGTTGGCAATGCAAAGATTGTGGTCACAGCTGTTGTCTACTGCTTGATATGCTTTTACATCTCGGGTAGATTACCTGAATCTTGAGCTAATGCAGAACTGGTCAATCTGTTTTTTTGTTTTGCCATCTGGCAAATTCTGTGTTTCTTTGTCTATACTTTTGTGAGGCATCATTGTGCTTGCAAGCATTAGATTGGACACCAACCACAATCCAATGAGTTTTTACGATTTTGGTCAATGATTTCCAACTTAGTGTTTCTCTGTTGCCCTTTCCATTTATTTCTTCGTTATCACACCCTACTTTAGTGATAATTTTGCCCATCATAAGGAGTAAGTAATGCACAAAAAGTGGAGGTGCTCTAACACCCCTCCACTTCTACTTCCCAGGCCTATGCCTAAGTCAATTTTGACATCCCACTGAAAAACTGGGCCCTGTATCTCTTTGCAACTCATGGAGATAAATCTTCTGTTACCATAATCAGTGTGAACGATGATGTCAGTTCCTCAGCTAGTGATTGGCAGCAGCTGGGAATCTGGCACAGACTTGCCTTCTCTTTCTTATATGTGATGTTTATGAAATAGTTCTTACTATGGAAAAATTCCAGAGTTTTGGAAGGGAATTGTTATGTATGCTGAGTGAGTGCCTCCACTGGTACATGGCAGTGCTTGGGTTCTAATTCAGTGTTCCTTTTGAAGAATGACACATTTAATGTGTGAACTTGTGTATCTGGCACAGAGAGCCCTTAGGAAAGAAAATATTATAATTGGATTGTTTAAGAACACAGAATGCAAATATGATTAAAAAGATTATAAATCATGTCAGCTCTCAAACCAATATGAAATACATTCATTCTTCTGATTTACTCAATGATGCATTGGAAATTGCAGTGTAATGGTATCTAGTTCAGGAAGCTTTAACTAAAAAAATTGAATAGTGCTGAGATTTGAAATAAGTGTCAGTATCTCTTTGGGTTTATTCCCTGTTTGCTGTAATTTTATCCAGTAACCTGTCTAATCATGCCTTTAGTATACACGCATCTTGTACATTTCATGGTAAGTGAAATGAGGTTGGAAATTTTTTTCTAAATCCCATTTTAGTTCCTGACATTGATTTTACTGGGAAAACTGTTTTGTTTTTTTCAAGGTTGCATTTGTGAAGTATTGCACCATAAAGCATGGGTATAGCACAATACATCTTTTCCTATTTATGCATTCCACAGATACACTACCATCTGTGACCTTGTTCAAATATCCTTACTGTAATACAAAATATTATCCCAAACACTATAGGACATGTATAAGAAATTGCCTGGGGACTCATAACTGATTTCTTAGTGTTTATTGTTTCTTTATCGGATCAGCACTTTACTCTCTCTATTTTAAATCCCCTAGATGGCACTACAGAATACAGTATTTAAATGTTTTATATAATGCTGTTAAATAGACAATGTTAACTAATTGTTTTTTCCTGCAAAATAAACATTAATGAGTTGTTTAACAAGATGAAATAAAAGCCAGAGAGAAATTTGGTTTAACAAACTGAAGATAATCTGCATGCTTGTCATTTAGTCACATCTTCATGTATGAAAACTAGTGTAACATGCTAGATATGTGGCCAATCACATGTAATTTTTCCAGATAGTGTGGAAATTTAGACTGGGATCTCCAGCCATGAATCAAGAAAGGAATGTATTCAATCCAAAAGGTTTAAAAATAATAATAATATTAATAAAAGAACATAAATGCTGTTGTTTTGGACTGGGAGAATACTTGGTAATTAAAAATGTTCAAAATGACTAAGAAAGCCATTCTCAGAGACTGGGTACCTATTTTAATACCTCTCTGAGTATTTACATTCTGTGAATTATTGACAGGTAGCTTGCAAGCTGGACACCTGTGGGAACCTAAAAGTTTGTATTACTCATGAGTATTTTTTTCACAGTTGCTATTTCATTGTCTGCAGATCTCTGCAGTAAATACTGTACTATATGCTGAAAAGAGAAAAACATTGCCATCTGCAACTACAGCTTGCAAATTACAGCTTGCAATCGCCTGCTATTAAATAAAGACACTTTAACAATATTTTGGGTTTTAAATTAGCAGTTTACATCACATGACTCTGAAAATACTACTCTTTTAATGGTGCAATTTTCTTTCCCTTTAACCAGGCATCAGCATGTATTGAATAAAAAAAAAGTAACACAAACCAATGTTATTTAAACAATAGCCACTGACAGCAAGATACATACAGATGGAAATCCAATAGCTCCTATCTCAGTAGGAGGTTTCATTTGAGGACCTTGATGGGGATGTGATTGGACTGCAGCACTCTAATTTACGTCATGGGGAATCTATCATGATGCCTTTTTTACTGCACTGCTGTGCCAAACTATGTCTCCGGTGAGAAACTGGTCTCAGGCAGTGCACAGGAAGCAAAGCCAAAGCTTAAAGGAGAGAGAAAAGAAACTGTGTGTTAGTATCAGGGTACTCTGAAAGAGATTAGCAGTTACATGGACACATTGAAGAATACAGGTCAAATTAGAGGAATTCTTGCTCCTCTAGAAGAATTTTAGAGCTGCCACGCCAAGAAGCGATGCTATGAGTCATGCTGACTACATTGACCACATTTCCTTTACAAGTGTGGAAGGAGAGAGAGCACTACATGATGTCTACATGAATGGTGGTGTTTGCTGGTGGCATTTCCTAGTGGTCAGGAGGTTAATCCCTTGTTAGTAGCATATCTACCCTTTCCCCTAGACCAGCTTCACACCTGGTTCTATTTTGTCTCTTAGGGTATGTCTACACTACCCCCCTAGTTCGAACTAGGGGGGTAGTGTAGACATACCCTCAGAGACCAATTTTTTGTGTTTTCAGCAGACGCGGGAAATCAACAGCCCAGTAAATCCATCACTGCTTCGATGATCCCTGGCGTAGTGAAGACAAGGCCATAGAAACATGAGGTCAAGTGAGGGTATTGCCACCAGGTGTTCTCCAGTGGAATCCCCTCCCTCCCTTGACTTGACCCTCCAGTGAAAATACCACTCAGTCATCTCCTCCTGGTGTGATTTTTTTTTTAAAGATATGGATTCAGCTATTGACCCTTACAAGTGGCTGATCCTAGCAAGGGAGGAGGTTTCAAAAGATATGTATCCTTCCCTTCTTTCCCTCCAGGACAAAATCAGGAGGTCAAGGGTTTTTGTGTCCTCCTTAATGAAAGGGATTGGCAAGGGAGCTGAGATTCCTGCCACTCCATTGGACTCTGGCCCAGAGTTCTGAAAGGACTTCCAAGTGTCCAGCACCAAGAAGTTCCTACCACTTCCTACCACTCACTGCTTTGTAAATGTCTTTCATCCTGCCATGAAATAGAAAAGAGAAAAAAAGATGCCAGCTCTCCAGGCCCAGCCTTAGGTTCACAATCATGCTGGAAGGGATGCAAGTCAGGTTCCACAGGGGTCTGTTTTGGGACTGGTTCTGTTAAATATCTTCATCAATGATTTAGATATTGGCTTAGAGCAATGGTTCTCAAAGGCTATGTCTACACTGCAGGTTTCTTGTGCAAGAACTGCCATGGAGCTACATGGTGGAGGAATGCCACTGCCATGGTAAGAGTGACATGTTCCTTGATTGGATCCATGGGGCAGATAGCAGATTGGTCTGTGTGGGGCTTGGCTGAGCAGGGTGGGCTCTTCTGGTGCATGAGTGGCTGGCATCCTTCCCGCCCCGGCAGCAGGTTGGGGTGGGCCACAACCTAAAGTGGTGAGAGGAGGCAACACTGGGACTAGGGATCCTACACATGCAAGAGGTAGGTGGGGGCTCAGGGCTCTTTGGGGCTTTGCACCCTTGGGGACTTGGTATGAGGGGAGAGGCTGAGCAGCAATTTGGCCCCTGCGGGTGCTATGAATTGGACCCCTGTGGGACCCCACCCCCTGGTGTGTTGGACACCTAAGTCAGAGCACAGCTGACTGCAAACTCCCCAAACCCAAAATGTTTGGCTCATGGGACTTTTGGATCAGAGAGAGACTGGCAACCCTGTGCTGTGACCAGCCTCCCTGCCCTTTCATTTTCCTGAACCATTCCTGAGCCACCTTCACTCCAGCCCTATTCCAAGGGGCACCCTTGCTCACCATCTCCTTGACCCCCCTTTGTACCCCAGCTTTAGCCCAAGGCAGTCCTTGAACCTATGTCCCTGGCCAAACACCTTCCCTCCTGGCCAACCACCCTACCCCCAGCCTGCTCTTGCACTCTCTCATGCTTCTGCACCCTCCCCCCTGGCCAGACACTCTATTCCCATCCTACTTCTGCACCCTACCTCCCACGCAGACCTTGCGCCCTCACCTCCTTCTGCACCCTACCTCCCTCCCAGATCTTGCACCCCATCCCTATCCTACTCACTGGCAGCCCTGTCCCACACACTGAACCCCTTATTTTTATCCCCACCCAGACCCTAAGGGGTCAATAAAATCCACTAATTCTGGAACGCCAAAGTAAATCTGGCCTATGGGAAGCTCTGAACCTCAGTCCTCTCTATTCCTTCCCCTCCCTCCGCACCACAGGGTTGGAGCGCCAGAGGAGTGAGGTGTCTCAATTGGGGGCCACATCAGTGAGGGTTGGGTTTTTTTGGAGGAGTATTTTTGCTTCTTTCTTGTGTGGTGCCCAACTGATTTTTCTGTGGGTCAGTGACCTCTGACATAAAAAAAGTTCCCCACACCTGCCATCAATAAGGACATAAATTAATATTTTATTGTATTTAAAATGAAGTTTGATAAACTAACACGAGGAAGTTAAAGTGCTTAACCTGTTTAATAATTTAAATTAAACAAGTCTCCCTAGCTGCAGCACTAGCAAAATGGCTTGGGTGTAATTATGTAATTAATGGTGAGTTTCCATTAGAAACTGGTGGTCCACAGAAAGGTTTACATTGAGCCATGTGGCCCATGGGACAAAATGTTTGAGAACCACTGGCTTAGGAAGTACGCTTATTAAGTTTGCAGATGATACAAAGCTGGGAGGGATTGCAAGTGCTTTGTCAGATAGGATCAGAATTCAAAATGATTTGGAGAAACAGGATGAAGTTTAATAAGGACAAACGCAAAGCACTCCACTTAGAAGGAAGGAACAATCAGTTTCATACAGACTATGTCTAGACTGCAAGCCTCTTTTGAAAAAGAGCATCTAGACTACAACCAGTACGTTCAAAAAAGCAAGCTGCTTTTTCGAAAGAGAGCACCCAGGCAGTTTGCATTACATAGCGCCTTTTTTTCAAAAGAACACTTTCGAAAAAAGGCGTTCTTCCCTGTAAAATGAGGTTTTCCGCAATAGAAAAAACTGCCATGTTCTTTCAATTTACTTTAGAAAGAACGTGGCAGCAGTCTAGATGCAGGAGAAGTTTTTTTCAAAAAAAGACTACTTTTTTTGAAAAAACCCTCTTGTCTAGACACACCCACATACAGAATGGGACGTGACTGTCTAGGAAGAAGTACTGCAGAAAGAGATCTATGGACCATAGTGCACTACAATCTAAATCTAAGTCAACAATGCGACACGATTGCAAAAAAAGCAAACATGATTTGGGGATGCATTAACAGGAGTGTTGTGAGAAAGACACGAGAAGAAATTTAAGTCATGATTCAAACCAAATGACTGGCACAGCATGGTCTGAAACTGTAGAAGTCTGCCACTGGTACAGTAAAAGCAGCTAATACAATGACTGTCTTACTCTGTTTATTTTAGACTTATTAATCACCTCTATGATGTCATTTATCATTCTACTCTGTTATTTCACTGAGGATCTGATGCCAGACATTCGGTTTAAGTATTAATTTGGTTTGATTCTAATCTCACATATAAAATGCTGCTAGTTTCTGGTCTTAACTGTTTTCACTGATTCAGAATTCTGTGCCAGAGGGCACTTCTCTTAGACTTCTATTAGAAGCTATTTATAGTCCTTTTAGTGATAGAGTCTGTGGATAATGGATAGATTTTCATTTCTATGGTGATTATACACATTTTTATTTCCTTTTAAAAGCTTTCTTGCTGACCATACATCTTGTAAGTGAAGCATATCACTGAAGTCATTCTAATTTCCTTAAGCAGATCACACACACAGAGAGCTCTGAGTAATTGAGAAATACTATCAAACTACTATTAAAGCTAAACTGCTTGGTGCATTTTTGTAGCTGACTTCTCTGTACTGTATTAATTAATATATTGAGTCTGTTTTATAAAATCATTTGTGAACTCTTATGCCTGCCTGGAAAATGCAAACACATTACTATGCTTGAGTGGCAGAATAGCTATAATTTTGATATGTCTTTGTTGGAAGGCAGAGGGTAGCCCCTAAATTTGAATAATGATAGTTCTCATTTTCACTTAAACATTTATTTTTCTTTTCAAGTACTGGCCGTTCTAAATTGTTTTATCCTATCTCAGTGTTATGGAAATTATCTGTGGATTCATGAGAGAGAGGGAGCAAAACATTTGTTAATCCTTATCAGCTTCCCATATGTGTGACACTTCCTATAGTGTGTATTATGTTGGTATTGAAAGTTCTCCTTGAAGGCTTGTTTGTTCTCTGGCCCATTATACAGCAAAGTCAGAGCACAGCTGACTGCAAACTCCCAAAATCCAAAATGTTTGGCTCATGGGATTTTTGGATCAGATAGAGACTGACAACCCTGGACTATTTTGTAGCCACACAGGGGCCATGGCCTGATAGCCACACACATGTGTGAAGAGACTTGACATGCTCCTGACCCCAGGGTGGGACACAGCAGGACGCCCTCCCTTCACAAGCCCCCTCTACACAGAGGCAGGGGCCATCCCCCCCCCACCTCGGCTGCACTATACACAGCACAGGGGCATAGGTGCGGTCTTGGGGCAGCTCCCACTCCCGGGGATAGCAGAACATTCTGACCATGGCTTCTGTGCAAGCACAGCGGCTTTGACAGTGCAGGGCATAGTCATCCTCACCTTGCAGAGGGGGGCTGGGCTTTACCCGCTGTGTCCCCAGGGAGAATTGACCACTTCTATTCTTTCTCCATAGCTGCACGTGCAGGGCACCCCACCCTGCCTGGGACATCCTCCTTCACTCAAGGGCTCAGCAGATCCACTGCAACACTGCAGGGATACCTAGACCAGCACCTGGGGGCCCTGCGAGCCCTGCACTGCACCATGGAGCAGTGGGTGCAGGATGAACGGGAGTTCCAGAGGGAGATGTTTGCCTAGAATTGTGCCATCTGTGCCCATCTGCAGACCCTGGTGCAGAGCGTTCTGCCTCGTGCCGCTCCAGCGCTTGCTGCCTCCCCAGCTCCCGCTCCTCCTCCCACTCCTTCTCCCCCTCGCGCCTCTCCCTCCTCAACCTCCACACCCTCCTCCCCATACCCCTGGGGACACTGAGGCCCCCGCACCAGTCATGCTGGGAGACAGTTGGCCCAGAGAGACTCCC